GGGGGGGCTTTCTCCACCAGAATCGGGAGCCTGCAGCGTCTTCAGAAACTCTTGCAGCTGGGCATCCCAGTTTCTCGAGGGACCTTCATCCGGCTCTTGTTTCACGTGATGGATAAACTCCTGCTTAATCTTCCCAGTTTCTGGGAGGTCTTCTCTTTTCCTTCCTTCCCCTGGTTGAAGGCCTGAAGAACACTGTACTTCCATTTTTACTTCTGGATCCACATTTTCTTTTAGGAGAGACTTGGTTGCCTCTGCTTTATGTGTGACAGCCATTTCCTCCACAGAAACTAACTTTATTGTAGTTTTCCTTTTTCTTTTTCAGCATCGATCCTCGGGGGATGCTGCAGAACTCTTGTTAGATCCTTCAAGAATCAACAGCATAAAAGATTCATTCAACAAAACTGCTTGGAACGAATGCAGCAAAGCCTCAAAAATGTCTAATTGCCTTCTTTCAGATAACACAACTCCTTCTTGCTACCTACACTGAGAAACAGAAAATTACAACAAGCAATTATGGGACTAAAAGATATTCCAACAGTTGGAAGCAAGTAAGGAATTAAACAAACAGTATTCCTGTAATTATTCAATAATTGGAAGAAATTCTATTCTCCTAAACCTCTGGGGATCTCTTATGAAGGGATGGTGTTAGGATTACATACTTTGAACTGGCAGGGGGCTTGGAATTGAGAAACTGAGTTTAGAAGTTTGCCTGCATTTCATTTTATGGTTACCCTAAAGATTTGTTCTATTATGTTCAGTACAGGAAGAAATCATCTGTTTCCTACCTGCAAAATGTTAAGGAAACCCTCTTTTCTTTTTCCTTTTCCTGATCAGTAGACTCACAGTTTTATATATTTTGGAGGATACATGACAGCCAAGTTTCCCTCCCATCCCATCAAGCAAAGCATTCCCCCTCTGATTTCCCAGATCAAGTTAACAAACCAGAAAATTACCTGGTAGCTGAACCCAGCTTCCTAGGATGCTGGGGTTGAATGATGAAAATGCTAATTTTCACCCATTACGTCACTACATAAAAAGGCTTATATGGAAGAGAGTGTTGAGAAAACAAAAGAGGAATAGTTTGTTGAGATCTCTGAATACAGGTGCGTCACAGGTCACTCTTTTACCATACCCCAAAGTAGGAGTTTATCAGATATGGCAGGTAGAAAACACAAAACTAGAGTTTAAAATGTTTGGCTGTATCTAATGGGTACATTTAATGGGAGAATAATAACAATACCATCAACAACATCTGCCTATCTCAGGCCCTTGGGAAGGACTTGATAAGTAGATAAAAATGCCAAATCCAGTCTAAACACCTGGCTGACTGTGAGACCATAATAATAATATGGGTTTGGTGTCACAGTCAAAAGCATAGCGGAAAGAGAGTGAAATCTTCTCCCCCAACAACGATGCTGAGAATTATCTCCTTTTATGCTAAAACAGCCTTTCCCAACTTAATGCTTTCCTGATTCATAATTAACTTCAGCTCTTGTTTCTTTTTTGCCCACTGAAAAGTTTTTCCTTGCAACTGAGTTTTATGCAGCAATCGATTACGTCCGCTTATTTTGGTGTCTCATGTTTTTTTTCCCCTGCCAAATGGGTTAGGCTTAGAGTTAGCAATCTGTGAATTTATGTACCTGTGCTGTAACCACAAGAAGGCTATTACCCCAATCAATTATGTCCATGGTGGGCAGAAACTTTTTGGATATGAGATGTTTATCTATCTGTCTAATTATCAATTGGAGAGCCAGTTTGGTGTTGTGGTGAAGGCACCAGGCTAGAAACTGGGAGACGGTGGGTTCCAGTCCCATCTTAGGCACCAAGCCAGCTGGGTGACCTTGGGCCAGTCCTCTCTCTCAGCCCCAGGAAGCAGGCAATGGCAAACCACTTACCAAGAAAACTGCAGGGACCAGTCCAGACAGTTGCCAGGCGTCTTCAAGACTGACTTGAAGGTGCACACACACACACACACACAATCTGCCAAATTTGTACGCTGCCAGACTCTCAATGATTTTTTTTAAACTATTGGCTGGCAAAAAAAGAAAAAAAGAAAGAAAGAAAGAAAGAAAGAAAGAAAGAAAGAAAGAAAGAAAGAAAGAA